TATATAGATATATATATCTTAGTACACACACACTTACCTCTTTTTGGCCAAAGTCTATAAGATTCTGCAAGTCCAGATCATCCCTGTAGTGCACAATAGCATTGCCAAGCACTTCACTGACTTTCCCCCGAGCCTGTAACACAACAGATATTAGCAAAACACAGTCCCCTTTTACTAAAGGATATCCAATGATCCTTTCATTCACATGCATATGACTAAGGGGTCTATTTATTATATTTTCATAGCTCTTTTGTCCAGCAAAACTGCAGGTACATTTGTTCTGTGCATGTTAACCAGCTGTTGTGAGAATGGGACAAAAACGAATGTCCTTAGTGTAATTTCCCATCTGATTGAATGTTCTTCAATAGATTCATTCATACAGAGCAAACTGAATGGGAAAAATGCAACATTATGGCCACTATGTGGATCTGAGGATCATAGGAAATAAATACGTTAGTTATGTGCTACAATTAAAGAGAATGCTGGAAGGAATGAGCAAATAAATGTAACCATTGCTATTCCCATAGTATCAATGATTACATTTACATGCTCATTCCCTCCAGCGGTCTCAGATTTCTGTAAATCAGCCAAGTGTGTGGCCAGCTTTAGTATTTAGAAAAAGAAAGTTGAATCTTGAATTGTGAATGTTTTCAGGTTTTCTTACTTAGGTTTGCCAGTCTGTGTTACACTAAGTGAGTGTTTTTTTTTTTTAAAGTGAGAACTCTTCTAATAGACATGCATTTGCCAATTTTCCCTTAGCCCTGACTTGCAGCTGCAGATAACACCTTTTGGTGGTGACACTTTTGTAAACCACCCCCTATGTGGACAGATACTTCTGGATTCCTGTAAGTGTTCTACATCCTTCTACTTGCAGAACATAAACTGCCCCTTTAATTATCCAGATGCATCTTTCATGCCTTACATCTGTTTTTGTCAGAAGTATACAAGTCTATCCACAGCTGTGTTTAAAGGATTCTTAAATGATAAACGGAATGGCTTTTTCTGTGTGTAGTGTTACATAACCTAAATCTTTAGTATAAATGTCTTCCTGTCCAAAGTGAAAAAACAAAACAAAGCCCCTCCACTAAGCTACATTTTCCATATTGCTCATCTAAATCTTTCTATGGAGTTAGGTGCTTTGAGTGGCACACTACTACTTGTCAAGTATTATTGCATCCTGTGTATCACATGAATAACATTGTAGTGTGTTACATAAGTTCATATTATTTAAACTAAGGTGCTAGCACTGTATTTACAATTTTAATCATATCGTATTGTTGCCTGAACAAAGCAGTGGATAAATAGCTAGTGTGTTCTACTGTGCCCTATAGCATGCATAGTCTGCGTCTGAGTACAGCAAAGCCCTTTCATATTTCTGTAGTCATTTGTTTAGTGTTCAGGTAGCTGTAGAGCATCCTTTAAAATGGCAACTAAACTCTGGTAGTCTGTATGGTTTAAGTTGCCATGTTGGTGTCCTACCTTGTTTGATATGCACTGGCATTGACCTTGCTTTGACTCCTCACCTCATCTGTGTTCTGCATTTCGACTTTAATATTTACCTTGCATTACCTTTGGCAATGGCCTTTGACATGAGTCACCCTCGCTTGTACCTTGACTACTCTAAGGCCCCATTCACACTGAGCGATTTATGGAGCGATTTTTGCAGCGATATCGCTCATATTTCCGCGCTATATCGCTCTATGTAGCTTCACCAATACATTTCAATGTAGCTGTTCACATCTCGTCGCTCAATGTCGCTCAATATCGCTCAATATCGCTTGTAGCTCGTCGCTGGTAGCTTGTCGCTTCTACATGACCCTTTTTTAGAGCGATTTTGAGCGATATTGCTCCTGATTGCATACAGCCCAATAGGAAGACGTCACTCAATGTCGCTTGTCGCTCAATGCCGCTCAAAGTCGCGCGATTTCCATGTCGCTCAGTGTGAATGGGGTCTCATGCACATTAAGAGAACCAGAAATGTGGCTGCTAAAGGGTCAAGTGCACTGCAGAAGTGGATATAATGTCTAGCAGGCCACCCTTACATAGGGGCATTAAATAGTATCAATATTGTTACTTAGGAACATTTAAATCACTAAAAAGCAAAACAAAAATAAAATCGCAAATTCTAGAGGTTAAAGCTTATCACCAGGAATAAAACTACCCTTGCAGTGGGGCTATCCCTACACTGTAAGGGTTAACAGTCTATTTATGTCTAGGTGTATTGTGTGACAGAATTTTATTAGACAATTGGCACCCTCACGTATAATGCAGGGCCATCGGCTCTGCATAAGATGCAATGACGTCAGCAGGCCCTGAGTGCTGGAGTGCAGGGGGGAAGCGACTGAGGGCACCAGTCATGGAGCCTGCCTAAATGTGGATTATGTAACTAAAAGTCCATTACACAATACCCCTAAACAAAAACTAGCAGTTACTCTTGCGGTGCAGGGGTAGCCCCACTATAAGAGTAGTTTCTTCTTTTGGGGATGGTTTTTAAACGTTGCCCTGGTTTATCTAATTGGATCATGTTCATTCTTGTTTATTTGGTTTATCTGCACATGATTGGATTATTCTATTTTTTTTTTCTTGAGTAAATGTCTCACCTCCTTTAGTAAATTAGCCTAAATTTGTCAGTTACATCATAAATAGTAATTCTTTTTAAAGGCGTGTTTGATATTTCAAATATTTGTAAAAGAAGTGGGTGTTTCCTAGTCATCCTGTGATGTAATCTACAAGATCTGCCTGGACACATTTGCACAGGATGTAGTTGTTGAATAGACAGATCAAACAACATGACATTCTGGTACAATCTTTTACAAAGCTTACTTACAACATAGGTTGATGTAGCACATAGTGGTATTAAGCATTATTTTTCTTAATCTATAACTTCATCGTGTCTCATACTACTGTATAGCGACGTGAGCTTGTTACAGAACAGATATTAGGTACAATAACATTCTGAAACAGATGGTAAAGTGGTGTTTAATTCCGCTGAGTTATTAAGCTACCTTAAGCATACTTTGGCTCTGGTAAAAAGGATAGACACCTGAATAGGTGTTTCTGTGTACTCATGCATTACATTTCCTCAGCAGATGGACATGTTTAGTGCCAAGTTCATACGCTGAGAGCTGATTTACAATATGTCTGGCCCTTCAATAGGAAGATTCACCTTCTCTACTTACCCTGCTAACCATTGTCACTGAGACAGGGAGTGATGGGAAATCTAACATTTTGCAGTTATCACCAAAGCAAAAGAAGAGGGTAAATCTTCCTATAGGAACACCTGTTCCAGTGACAATTGTCAAACACTTTTTAAAGACCCAGGAGCTTTAAGCCATTATGTAGTAGTAGTAGTATGCACAGCGTATCAGTACATTATGGGAGCACTTCCTTCAGATGAGCAACAATGGCAGCATGTGCCTGCTCCCCTCACCATTCACATACTCTTGCTAGGTTTGCAAAGCCAACTTTATAGGGTTTATAGAAGTGCCCTTTTAAGGCTAAAGCTAGCCAAATTCCAAGCCACGGGTGGCCCTGTCAGTCTCACCTGGCTCAACTAACTTCATTTAAAAAAATCAAAGGAGTTTTCTCTTGTTCAGCCCATGTATGGCAAGCTTAAGGTAGCTTTAATGCTATTAGGGTACCTACAAATAGATGTTCAACAGCTGGTCAGTGTTAGAATCTTCTGTAGGATACTGTGTAATCACAATAAATGTATACTAGTCTTTGAGCTCATCTGTGGAAAATTAAGGTGCCCATACACTGCACGATTCTCGTATGAGAATCGCGAGAAATCCCGCGATCGTGCAGTGTATGGAAGGCGTGCGACCGTTTCTAATGTACGGTCGCGCGACTTTTGTACTTCGAGCTTGTTGGAAAACCAGCCGAGAATCGTACGATTTTCGGCTGTTTTTTAACATTAACGAGAGATGACAGCCGAACGAGCCGGTGTGCGAACGCGCACACTGCCCATTCAGCATTGGTCATCGGAACCCACCCCTCAGGGGGGCGGGCTTGCGATGATCGCAAGTACGATCTGCCTGTCCAAGATGGGCAGATTGTACGTTTTTTAAAGTACTTTACAACCCTCGCAAGACAAAATTCTTGCGAGGGTTGTAAAGTATATGGTCACCTTAAGGTTGTTCGTTGGCTGGATACTTATGTTTACCTATTACCACCTAAACTTCACTTTTACATCACCTAATAACTATGGCCAGATTTGCATTCATCTTGAAGTACATTTGTCAGTGCTATGTTATTCAATTTTTCTCCCAGTGTATGAATCTCGATATCCACCCTAACCTCTGGCTATGTTATTCTCCTGAACCTGTTAACTCCTCTGCCTAAGCTTCTTTCCTCTGGCTCATATTATGACATACTTGTCATGATATGGCAAAAAAAAAAAAAAAAGCGTAGGTTTGGATCATATTTTATTATCATAAATATTGTAGCCACGGGGACATTAATTCAGTATATATGTACAGTAACTTCTTAATACAGCGTCCAGAGTTCATTTAGAATATGCAAAGCATTTTAGCAATACAATGTTGAGAAGAAGTCAAATGTTGGATTTATGAGCTTGTCAAGCGGGGATCCACACAGCAGTATGTGCTCTCCCTGGACACTCTAGCCGATGCGTCTGAATCCGTAATAACCACAAAGTAGGTGTAAAAGTCTTACTTAGCCTTTTGAGACAAATGGCTAAAACCTTAAAAATGTTTGCAACAAAGTAATATCTCATAACTCCCATCCCATACAGTGCAGTCATATAACCTTCGGTAAAAGCCTGCTTGTGCAAAGATGAGCGCACACATGCTAGCGTTATGATAAAAGATGGGGGGAGTTATTAAAGTTTGGGTCTTTTTATGGTGCTACTGGTTCTGGTAGGCATACAAAATCAGTTTGTGGACTAGCATAGCAGAACAACAGGCAAGATCACTTCTCTTATTTGTGGATCTATAATTCATAACTTGAAACAGTTATGAGGTTTTAGGGCTTGTTCACATGATTTTCTGGTCCACATCTGGAGACGCGGTGCTATGCATGCAGTGCGTTTTTGACACGTTTTGGACACGTTTTTGATGTATTCCAGCTAAAAAAAAAAAAGTGGTTGGAGTGGGGCTGTCAGTATGTTAGATGCAGTGCGTTGCATTTTTGGCGCGTTCATGCATTTCCGGACCGTTTCCGGACCGGACAAAATGTGACATGCAGTATTTTTTCTGTCAGGACCGGAACGGACTGCGCTTGTGAGAACTGTAGCCCATAAAACACATAGGGATACATTGGGATGCAGTTTGGGTGCATGAACGCACGTATCTGGTCTGGGCAGAATCCGGACGTCGTGTGAACAAGCCCTTAAAGAATGTTTTTACTAAAATTTTACCTGTACTTATTAGGTAATATGCTGCAGCCAACCCCTTCCATCCAACTGGCTAGTCTAAGTGGGTGGCAACTCACTTTGATCTCTAAAGTATAACAATGGAAGTGTGCAAATAAATCTAGATCATATCAGAGGGGTACCATCAATGGGGAGTAAGGTTTCTATCCAACTCCAGAAGCAGGTAAAATACGTTTTATCCTTTTTCTTTTTAATAAGCCACACATTACTTACAAAGGTAACTAGTGGTTATTATCCAAGCTGACAATAGACCTCAGATGATGGTTTTAATGTGAAGACAGAAGTCTTTTTGACCAGATATAGAATAAGGAGGAGGAGGCGTTTACTACACATCATGAGTGACCCCTGATAGGTGGGGTGGCCATACAAAGTATACTGTATACAAATATTTATAAATAATCTCTGTAAAAGACATTACATTTCCAGTAAAATATATCCAGAAACCCCACATTACCTTGTCGGAGAAGACAAAACCCACAATGCCCGCGGACAGCTGCAGCAAGAAGACTATTGTCAGGCAGATTGAGAACTAAGGAAAAGAATCACAGTAAACTATTGTACTATTCAACACATCAAAATAAAAGCTAAAAAGTAAAAAAAAAAAGAAACAACAGACCCAAACAACTACGTTAGGCTGCTGCATACACCACATGAAATTAAAAGTATCACTACACAATGCAATTATATCAACAGCATTTAGACCATTCAAGAGCTGATTATCCATTCATCTTCACACTCAGGATAGTAAATGTAGCCCTCTATTCATACTTCTATTACCCGTGTAAAGCTCCTCTCCAGGGTAAGACACAGATAAAAGACATACAGTACAAGGGAGCTGTTTTACCTGTTAAAAGGATTTGTATTTCTTTTCTTCCAGACCTGAGATTTACAGAGCTCTGCCACACAACACAGCCCTGTCTGGCAGGGGAGGAGACCTGATCATTCCCTGTTGCGGTTTAGTAACAATTACATGTCTTGTTCTTGTCCCAGCCTCTAACCTGACAGCGAAAGGAAAAGCAGCATACTGATGTCTTCATTTATCTGTCACTCTGCTCTCTGCTCCTATGAGTATGCCCCTTGCATTGAAGCACAGCTAATTGGCTCCTTGTTCCGTTTCAATCCCCCACCTGGAAGCTCTGCTATTCAGGAACTGCAGGAGGCTGAAGTCAAATTCAGGTATTTACAATGCTTAAAGGAGAACTAAGGCCTAACTCTTTTTGGCCATAGTTCGTTTCAGGGTCACAGGAGGATAAATACTGTTGTCCTTTGGTGACCCAAAACTCAGTATATAGTGGGCTATTGTCCGCTATATGCTGGGAGCGCAGAGCCGTGCCGCAGCTGGGACGGATCCCAACAATACTGTCAAAATCCACCCCTCTGGCTGATTGACAACTGACTCTGTCTCTCTAAAAACAGAGACAGCTGTTCCCGCCCCTCTCCCATCTATACCTCCAGTCAGCGCTGGAGGATCGGACAGGGGTGGGGGGGGAATCCCTGCGGGGAGCGATGACTGACAGTCACTGCTCTCTGCAGGGAGAGGATCGGAAGTCAGCGATCAGTGGTATGTGTTCAATGACCTCCCGATCAATAGAGCCGACGCGTGACAGCTTCAGTGTCACAGGTCGGCTTTAATTATGGAGATGTGTGTTTTTCACTCACCCCATAATTCTCCTTTAAATGTAAACAATAAATGGAATGGTATAATAAAGTATATTAAAGGTCACTAAGCTACATTCATTTATGCTTTGATAGTGATATTAAAGTCAAAATGTTTTTAGGATATTTTAAATGCTAATAAAATCACTTACAATGGATGCTGCTGTTTCTTAACATTTAAAAGTTTTAGTTTCCTGCAGAACCAGCTGGTCCACTGAGCACTGGCCCTGATATTCTGTTTTAGGGTGGCTCCTTTCCTTCGCAGACTCCTACGGAGCCACCCTTGGGGTGTGCTAGTAATTCCTTAGAAATCTAAAAAGCTAATTGTGCATCTTGTGGTGGGAAATCAGTCAATCCAATGTTATAATGAAATGCTAAACAAGCAATAGGTATAGAGATAGTATTTTTTTAAAATGGGCTGACATTCTTTCTGCTTCTAATCCTTTGGAAATAAACTGTTTTGGGTGTTAGATCAATGCCAGACTCACAGTGGAGGTTCTTTGAAGAAGCACAGCAGTACACAGAGCCAATGATAATCTGTTGACATTTCTGTATTCATTTGTAAAACTTACAGTTTGCAGGAGGCAGATGTTTTCTCGTAGAGATCCAATACAGCCACAGAAGGTAATAAGGAACATCAAAATACCAACTGCTATAAGAAGTAAAGCAGGATCGACCGCAAGACAAGCCATAGCAGCCTCTGTGGGGTATTCACAGGCAAAATATTAGTAGCAGTAGTAAGGGAAAGAAATAACAATGACATTTAAAATGTAAGTCACAACAATAACAGTGCCTTCTATTCTCAAATAAATTGCAATGTAGATTTTTTCCTGGCTGAGTGGATGAATTTGGCATTAGCTTAAAAGGAAAGGAGGTGAGTGATTTGCACTCATTCCCATAGTTCGAGCTGACGTGTGACAATGAAACTGTCACACGTCAGCTCTATTGATCGGGACGTGAGCGAACACATACCGCCGCTCACTCACTCCCCGATCATCTCCCTGCAGAGAGCAGTGACTGTCACCGCTCCCCACAGGGATTCCCCCGCTCCGATCCTCCAGCGCTGACAGGAGGAACGGACAGGGGAGGGGGCAGGCAGAGCCTGCTGTCAATCAGCTAGCTGGGTTGACCTTGACAATATTGTCAGGATCCGTCCCAGTTGCGACGCTCTCATGGGGGAATTTATCAAAACTGGAGCAGACAATATCTGGAGCAATGCCCATGGCAACCAATCAGCTTATCTCTTCAGTTTGTCCAGCTGCGATTTGCATATGAAAGATAGAAGCTGATTGGTTGCCATGCACAGCTGCTGCAGATTTTCTCTGCCCGGTTTTGATAAATCCTCCTCTCAGTATATAGCGAACAACAGCTAGCTATATACTGAGCTTTGGGTCACGGGAGAACTTTAGTATATGTCCTTCCATGACCCTATACGATAAAAAGGTTACCCCGTAGTTCTCTTTTAAGCAGAGCTTCCAATGTGAATCACTTTCCCCTGAGACACCAGGGAGGATGTGATCTACAATGTTATGCAATGGGCTTCTAGGAATAGATTGCTCTACCTCATGAGGAAAACGATTGATATAAAAAGCTATGGATGGCAAGTAGGTTAGAGCTACAGCGTTGGTTCAGTTGGTCAGGTCTAGGTTCAGCAATGTTATGTCCCCAAAAAATGAAGTCAGCTAAATAACTGAATATACTGAATGGATTTTTTCTTCCCTGATGGCACAGGCATTATGCAAGATGACAATGCCAGTATTCATAGGGCGTTTAAATTGTGAAATGACATTTATTTGTGTCCAGAGTTGCATTAATTTTTCACCTAGACCTTGTAGTGATGATGGAAGAGTCAGACCACTGCATAAAGTCTTCTCCAGCACACCCCAAAGATTCTCAATGGGGTTAAGGTCTGGACTGTGGTCTCCAATCCATGTGTGAAAATGATGTCTCGTGCTCCTTGAACCACTCTTACAATTTGAGCCCAAGGAATCCTGGCATTGTCATCTTAGGATATGCCCGTTCCATCAAGATCATTCAAGTTATTCAGGTAGGCAGCTGACCTCATTTTTTTGGAACAAAACATTGCTGAACCTAGACCTGACCAACTAAAGCAGCCCCAGAACATAACACATCCACATCTCTTACCTATCTGCTTAACTAAATCCAGGTGGTGACTTTTTTTGGCCAGGCAGTGTATAGTACAGTACATGTACTTGCTCATGGTGTTTATGTCCCCATTAGAGATGGGAAGAGCTCGGGGAAAAAACTAAAAAATTGGGGGACAAAATGTTTTTTTACCAAAGCCGTGTTTGTTTTTTTTCTGAAAATTTTTAATAAACAAAAAGGAGTTTGGAATATGTTCTTTTACAATGATAAATAATATATCTTTGACAAGGTATTCAAACTATACAACATGAAGACTTAATGAAAGATTTGAGACTTTATGTAAAATGTTGTTGCCATCCAATACATGCTGCTGCAAATCTACTGGATCCAAGATTCAAAGGCAGTGCTGTTGTGAGTGATGGGAATACATGCATTTGACTGGATTACAAAACAAGCTGCACAGCTAGGACTTGATGTTGGTAAAGTACTTTGAAATATTGCAGAATAAAGAACATCTTCAGGGATTTGGGCCAGGAATGCAGTCTGGGATTCTGCAAAACATATCCCTCCTGCAATATGTTGGCAATGTCTCTGCACAACACAACCTCGCTTACTGCAGATTGCTGTATCTTCTGCTGCATGTGAAAGAATCTGGTCTATGTTTGGTAATATTCATACCAAATCAAAAAACAAACTGACCCGTGAAAGGGTAGAAAAGCTTGCTTCTATCCATGCAAACCTGAGGTTTTTAGAAGTCCATGAGAAAAATGACAAATATAAAGAGGAAGAAGAAATGGAAAATGAGAGAAATAGTTCAGAAAATGAGATAGATTAGACTGCATGTATTTGTTGTGTCTTCTTTCCTTTTCTCAATTTATTTTTTTAAAGCACCACTCCAAAGTTAAACCTCACAATGGGGTTTAAATATTGGAGGTTGACCTTACATCCACCAATGTCCATATCCTACTGGCACAAAAAATGGCAGTTATTTACCTTTGTATTTGCTATTGGTGCTAAGGGGCAAATCTGATTATCTTTTATGTTGGTTTCTTGCTTGTTTTGTTGGTTTTGAGGGAAAGGGGGTGGTTACCTGTTCTCATGTATAGTTGAAATGGTATTAACATATACAGTCCTTGTTGTTCCATTTGTAATAAAAAATACAATTTTAAAAAGCAAGTTTAGTTTATTTGCTGAATACACTGTACATTTATTTCAAGCACAATACTTTCATATACACTGCATTTCACATTCCTAATGACTTTCAATTTGTAAAAATACTCCACACTGAACTTTTTTTCAGTTTTTCTGAAAATTTTATTTTTTTCCAGAAAAACAGGGAAAAAAGTTTTTTTTCTCAAGGCTTCAACATTTCCAGAAATTTTACATCTCTAGTGCCCATTGCTCCCATCCAAATCCTCCCTTGTCACCTTCCCAGGGCATTTCTATAGTACAGTGAAGCAACAGCAGCACTGATAAGTGATCAAATTTGCTGTTCTCCATCTGCACATGTGCATGCAGTAGAGTCTGGTTGGCTAGAGCTTCCCTTTCTTTCATACTACGTGGTGCTATGCAGAGGTATACAAGAGACTAATATCAGCACATATTCAGATGCGTATGCTAGTCGTATGAACAATTACATGTATTAATTGTTAAATATAGAACACACAGTTACATTATTTGGTGTGTTGATATCTGCTTGGAGTTCAGCTTTTAAAGTGCACATGGTATTGAAATAAATCTGTGCTTTCTTCTGTCACTTTAATTTCCTACTGGTTGCCAACAGTTTATACTCCTCAACTGTACTTCTATAAACCCAAAAATGGGATTACAGTCTTATAAATATTTTGTGCACATGAATACTCAGAGAAGAGCAAAGGGTTACTACTGATCCAGCTCAATGACATCAATCCCAGTTTCCTGTTTTAAAGAAATGGAAGCTTCATATAAACACTGTGATTATATCATAGTAACATTTCACTCTGCGCATCCAGTGAAAGCTTTGCAGTGAACTCAAGAAACATGAAAAAAAAGTCTGCACCACTCACCAGCATGTTTCAAGAGCCTAGCATAGACTCCAATTCCCACCATCACTAGAGATATAACCTAGAAATGAAGGAATAAAGTATAGGTAAGAATCAAAATCATTATTCAATGTTAACATCACATTCAAAACTGAAGGTGGACGGAAAGTCATATTAAAATCAAAAGGTTTTTAACCTATTTAAAAAGCTGATGAAATCATTCACAATGTATGTTCCCTCTTGATGTTTAAAGTTAGTTTCCTGCAGAATCAACTGGTCCCCTGAGCCCTGGTCCTGATATCCTGTTTTAGGGTGGCTCCTTTCCCTTGCGGGGTCCTATGGAGCCATCCTTGTGTGTGCTAGTAAGCTGTATGTGTCTCCACAAACACACATAACTGAAGAAACGTTTGATGTGACAATATGCGTGAATAAACAAGACGCTTTTCTGGAACATTATCCATTGGTGTGCTGGTGACATTTATCATATCCACAAACACACAGGCACAGCTAGGCAAGTCTCTCCCTTCCCCCCTACTTCCGTTTCCCTCCTCCAATCCAGTAGATGAACAATTGCTGGAGACTGCTCTGTCCCGTGTGATCTTCTACTGGACAGGAAAATCAGGGAAGCCAAGCTGAGAGAGTTAATACTGTTTGGAAACATGATGACTGTAAGTGCTTGGCCAAATATGTAAAGAAATACTTTTTTGGGCAATGTATATTTGTTTTATCGGAATACATTATTAAACAAAAGCGTTCAATACTACTTTAATATTTCTCCAATAATTTCTAAGGCAGGTAAACCCAGTCTCACGTCCTGTAGTCAGGGCCGGATTTACTCTCTATACTGCCCCAAGGCCAGGTTCCTCAATGCGCCCCCCTGTATGCAGGCTGCATGCAAGTGATCTCGGCGACAATCGCAGAGATCACTCGTACAAAACAAACAGCAGCTTCCCCGCTGTACATTTAGTCCTGCTTGCCCAAAGCAGTGCTAAATGTAGAAAACAACTACCCGCCCGGCGCCCGGGACTGCATGTCCTGGGCATCAGGAGATAGGAATTCCACAACCCTGCTGCCCCTCTACTCCCTGCTGCCCCAAGGCCGGGCCTCAGTTGGCCTTGTGGAAAATCCGGCCCTGCATGTAGTCTAGATTTACCTATTTGGTTGCTAATTGACTGACAGAGACGGGCTCAAGACTGCAATAATACCTCAAAATATTATCTTTTCGAAAATATATTTTCACTTTAAAGCCGTGCATCAAAGCCAACTTGCAGGCCTTAGTGTGAACCTGGAATGGCAAGTAGCTGGAAACCAAAAGTATCTATATGGTGTATTGCAAACTTTGGAGAAGAACTACATATGGGACAACTTTTTTAACATCTGGTAGACTCTATTACACTAAAATCCCAGCTGAACTGCAAACCTAAATGGCCTGGCCAGGAAGGGGGTCTAAACACCTGGTCTTGAAGTGGTTAATAGTAGTCTGTGAATGACTGACCCATGGCATGCTTTAGAATCCTATTAGGCTTACCAACCATGAATTTTACAGTCCGCTATAGCAGCCTCGGTTGGTATTTATTATATGTTTCAGAAAACAGAGCGATCTAGCCTAACAATATACAGTATGTAGATGTACTCTTTCTTAAACCTTAGACTTATCAGAGCCAGTTTTCAAATGACATTAAGAAACATTGCTCTTTGTCAAGAGAACTGCATTCCTCTTTTTAATGAGTGTGCAGGATTTATAGCATAGCTCAGAGGTAAGCATTGCATATTAAAAGAAGTATGACATTGACTGGAAAGTCACAAATGTTTAATTGTGCTAAATGTATTTGTATGATTAGATCCTTTCCTTCTTTGTTTTTGAAGCCCATAACAGTGATCAGAATATACAAAACATGAGTAAAGGTCATGATATTCTGTATGTAAACTAAATATACAGACAAAAAAAAAAAAAGAACTGTTCCATGACTGCTTCATGCTTTGTCAATATAACCTCGGCCAAACCAGCATTTAAAGTGATAGTATTTGATCTTTAAGAGTTTTAGCTTCCGGCAGAATCAGCTGGTCTCCTGAGCACTGGCCCTGATATCCTGTTTTAGGGTGACTCCTTTCCCTTGCATAGGGTCCTATGGAGCCACTCTTGTGTGTGCTAGTAAGCTGTGTGTGCGTGCACATAGACAGACACAGCAAGGCAATACCCTGCTCCCCACTCCTCCTTCTCCAAGATTGTAGATGGATAGCTGCTGCAGACTGCTATTTCCCTTGTGATTTATTTTTTACTACACATGAAGTTCAGGGAAGCTGAGATGAGAAAGTTGGATCTAGTTGTTTGGAAACATGATGACTGCAAGGGCTTAGGCAAAAATGTAAAAAAAATAAAATTGTTGGGCAATGTGTATTTGTTTGATCTGGATTCATCATTGAAAAAAGTTTGATACTACTTTAATGTCCTCACCCACTGGTATATGGTCCCACCTGGATTGAAACATCTCTACCCTTTACTCAGCAACATGTTTTAGACACTGTAACACCACGCGTTAGGTGGACCTGCCCTGTGTTTAACAGATTTTGGACCAAAGTGTTTAAACTTTTACAGACCCTTTTTAATATCTCTTTTCCAAAAGACCCTTGGACTGTACTCCACCATCTTAAACCTCCCTTCCTCACCAAGCCCCAATTTAAAGTACAGACATACAGTAAGTGCTATTAGCTGCTAAACAAACTATCGCAAAAGCTTAAATGAAGCAGTTTGCTGTAGTTAGGCAACACATGAGAAGTTCACTAGCATACTCATGGACACCCACAGGATATTTCTCGCAGTGTGGTCCCTGTGGATACAATTTTAAAAGTGTTTCTCCTCTCTTACAGTTCATGCTTTGATCAACACTCAAACTAAACATTGGACTGGACCTCAACAATCTAGGCCAGGGAAGATCTACCCCTATTACACTCTATGATACTGCCTCAACTCAACCAATTCGCACATCATTTACTCCTCCCATACAATTATTACCTTATGTATCATGTGCCCCTCCTACTAGATTGTAAGCTCTCACGAACAGGGCCCTCCTAACCCTCCTGTATTGAAATTGTATTGTAATTGTACTGTCTCCCTCTATTTTGGAAAGTGCTGTGCAAACTGTTGGCGCTTTTTAAATCCTGTATAATAATAATAAAAATACTGCTTCAAGGGTTAGAAAACTTTCAATGTCCACTGACATAAAAAAACATGCATGTGATCGCTTCTCGGCCTTTTGGATAAGATCAAGTGTAGTATCTGTTCTTATCAGTTCTAGAGGGGAAAAGCATGGACTGTCCTTGGGACGGACAGTTGCTTAGTACCTTCAGGAGTGAAGGTAGGTGCTTGAGGCGACTCCTTGTTAGCAGCAGGGGGAGTTTCCTCGGCACTATTGCCTACTGACTGAACGGATGCGAAGCTTGGTCGAGGCTCGAGGGTTCAGGGGCGGCAGAAGCCCGTGGTGTTGTGCCCCCTGGGGGTGGTGTCCCAGGGGTGAGCAGAAAGTCACATGGGTATGGGACCCCACGTGACTCACTGTGCACTTGGTCACACACCACATTGCAATTTTCTGCACTTCGCCTCCAAGACAGGCCTTATGGCTAGTCTGGGGCAATATTTTTGCAATCCGGCCCCTAAGGCCTGTCAGAGTGGTGCACTGGCACTTTAGATTTATTTAAGCACTCCATGCACAATTGGCACTTTTTTATTTTAAATTTTGACCCACAGATGCTGAAGGTGCAGGTTTCTTCGGGCCTATTCCTGATGCTGGGAGGAGATTCTGTGCCTTGTAGGGGGTTCTCTGTCTCCTCCCACCCAGGAGGTGGGTCTCTCTTCGGGAGAGCCCACTTGCCTAGTACTGTGAGGGACCTGTTGCGGCAGGTCCCCGAAGGAAATGGGTCCACCGGCCTTCGGGTTGGTGGACCAACAGTCTCAACCCCTGTCAGGAGCCTTGCGCCCCGGGGGGTCGGGAAAGTAGGTCCCTTCTTTCGAAGGACCTTGCACCCTTGTGCACGTTTTTGTGTGCTGTGATTTCACGGTTCACTTTTTTGTTCACAGGGGGAAGTTTGATGCACGTCCACGGGCTTCGAAAAAAAACAAAACAAAAAACAAAACAAAAAACCATGCATGTGGTCTTGTAACTAACATCATTGTTGTATGACTGTAAAATGCTGTACCTACAATTATAAGAGTCTCTGTAACTTTAACGTTAAAACTGGTAAACTTTTTACATAAAAATCTATTTAAAATGAAAAGAAAAGCTGAAGATTCAATTAAATGTTCTGAAACAGTGCTACCTGAAATAAAAGGCTTTGGTGGAACTATATTGGCCTTTTCTCTGAAATGCTTTGCCAACTGTGTATAGTTTTCTTGATGCGTATGAGAAATTTTACATCGGAGGAAATCAGTGCTATCGAGATCACTATTCAGAGGGTAAAGCATACAGATATACATATATCTTATGCAATCATTAAATCATGTAGTAACAAGCACATATAAATGTAAAATTAAATTCAAAAATAATTTTCAGCTAAACATGAAAATAAGTCAAATGTGTACTCTCTGAAAATGGCCCTCTTACAGTATAGACCAACACAGTTAATAAATGAGTTGTAGTAATTGATTTGTGGTTTTATTTTTTAGATGTGTCAAGTGACATCCATTTATTTTGAGGGGAATTTTGAAAAAAAGAGACTCTCCTTCAAATGAATGGTTGTTTGCACATGTTAAGTAAAAGTGACACTAAACTTAGGAGGTAAATCTTAAAAAATGCATTCAAGTACCTGAACTATTAACAAAAATGTAGCTCGTTTGTGTATCACTCAGCTGTAGAATCTCAAATCATCTCTTCTCTCTGAATTGGTGCTGACATTTGTCCTTCCTTCTTGAGGGTGGCTACCTTTGTTCCCCATGGTCCCTGTGTGTGTTGTAAAGTAGCCACCGCCCCAAGCTCGCTCCCGTGATAGACTATAATTCCAATACAGATTAGTAAATTAAAGTCACTTTAATGTCTTCAGCTAAAAAAATACACTGATGTATTTTAAATAAAAATTGTTCTTGCAGTA